CATCTCCTGATATTTGGTCCCCAAAAACCTCCCCCATAATATTCGAGGATAATGAAAAAACTGAAGCCCAATGGATAAAGCTTTAGGTCTCAGCTATACAAATACCCTTGACACATCTATCCTCGTCCAACAAATATAACCGAAAACTAATCGCCTGCGTGGGTACATATGTAAACATTTCACCTTGAACGCACTAAGAATACAACTTTTCAAAATGTGCGATCAACCTCTCCTAGATTATTGATCAAGTTCCTTCATCATAATGCCCTCAGATGGCCGAAAAAACCAGAAGACATTCAGAGACGTTTTGCTAGATCTTTGTCCGGAAGTGATGGTACCCAGGGTTCATACATAGAACTATATCATAAATACGGTCTTCGACCTCTCTGGATCAGAAGACTCCAAAATGGTCTAAAATTCCTATTCAAGGTCAGCCATGACCGAGATATTCTCAAAAAGAATTTAATAAAAAAAACCAAAACCTCCCCATAAACACTAGAAATAGCGAAGATATTATAAGGATCCCCAAATTCATAAACTCCCAACGGTCAAATTTCTACTCCATGAAATATGCCACAATCTGGAATGCTCTTCCAGTTTCTATCCGGAAAAGTCGGAACCCAATCTAGTTTAAACTAAAAATTAACAAAACTAAGAAATTTCAATTAACAGTACACATTTATTTTTGTACAAGTCAGGACATTTTTCAAGTCAATTCCTTGATATAGGATTTGGTCCGAAAGGGTTCTGATGATGCCAACCGCTTGAATAATACCGGAACATAGCACTAAAAACAATCAAATTTATGAAAGATAGTATAACTGGTAAACAGAACAGAAAGTTATATTCTTTCTTTCCTCCCGTTATCGTTTCTATCATCTATGCCACCGGACACCAAATATCACTTAAGGAGCTAATAATAACATCCCTTTCGATAAAACCCTACATATTACTTGTACGTAAATCTATATCAAGGCCATATTTAACATACATACAACTATATTAGATCGTAGTAAACAGTTGACCACTACTCCTATAATATCACCTTTACAAGAACAATATGATACATGAGAAATATTATTTTGACAGCTTTGATTGTGACTTACCATTGAATGTTTCATACTCCTGATATATATTCATCTATTCCAGCTCTTAATCCAAACAACTATGGCAAGCCTCCTGAAACTGTAGCGCCCAAGCGCGCAGGGCTCTGCGGAAAGGTAGATTCCTCGGGTATGGAACCAGTACTCAATGGTTCGTCCCCGTGCACGATGATCTCGCTAGGGTTTTCGTTATTCATCGCAAAAATGCGACACACGGATAATCCAATGGTAGGTTTAAATAGAAAAGTTTATTGTAATGGATAGAAAAATGAATGTAATACGAAAAGGTCCAAAACGCCACACAGGCCCGCTGATAAAAGGCAAAGATTCCGGGGAGGTTGAGTTGGAGGCTTCCACGGGGGAGAGAGTAAATTCGTCTTTTATCTGCACTAAAAGGCACAAAAGACCACAAAACTGTGAGCTTCTGTCTCACACTTTCTAGCTCTTTCTTCTGCTTATTAAAACAAACTGGTCTGGCTCGGTCCAGTGGCTACAAACCTTATATACAACTATATTAGATTCGTATTTAACCCAACTGTTAAAAATCTCGGCGCCTCGGTGGGATTCGAATCCACGCAGTAAATGGAAGGCTTTAGTACAGCCAACGTTCTAACCACTTGAGCTACGAGCCCCCAAACAGTAAACAGTCGACCACTACTCCTATAATGTCACCTTCACAAGAACAACATGATACGTGATTCAGTATTAATTTGACAGCTTTGATTGTGACTTACCATTGAATTTTTCTTACTCC